ACTGGGAGAGGGACGGAACCAGGAGCGGGATGGAGCCGGTGCCGGGAGCAGGATGGAGCCGGGAGCGGGACGGAACTGGGAGAGGGATAGAGCCAGGAGCAGGATGGGAGGCCCGGGGAGCGGGATGGAGCCGGCACCAGGAGCGGGATGGAGCTGGCGCCGGGAGCAGGATGGACAACACGGGGAATGGGGATGGAGTCGGCACGGGGAGCGGGATGGAGCCGGCGCCGGGAGCGGGATCAGCGGCACAGGGAGGAGGATGGAACCGGGAGCGGGATGGGAGGCAAGAGCGGAAGAGTGGAAAACACGGGGCGGGATGGAGCCGGCACCAGGAGCGGGATCAATGGCACAAGGAGCGGGATGGGAGGCACAGGAGAGTGGGATGGAGCCGGCATGGGGAGCGGGATCAGCGGCGCGGGGAACGGGATCGGCAGCCAGGAGAGCGGGATCGGCGCTCCGGGCAGCGGGATCGGCGCTCCGGACAGCGGGATGGCCCCACCTGCGTGATCTCGTCCTTGCGGATCCGATGGAAGCAGAGCTGCGTGAGCTGGAGCATCTCCCTGGCATCGTCCTGCGCCGCGCGCGCCACCAGCAGGTCGGAAAGCTCTGCGGGAATGCCGGATAACCGGGAATGCCGCGTGGATACCCATCCACGGATACCCCATCCCGCCGATCCCGGCGATCCCGCGGATCCCACCTCCCGGCTTGGGCGGGCAGCAGCGCCGCACGGTGAAGGTGTCGTCTCCGGATCGGAGCGCGCAGCCCTTGAGCGCGTCCAGGAGATCCCGGAGCGTCGGGAATTCCCGATCCCAGCCCTCCAGCACGAAGCCGCCGCCTTTTTGCTGGATGCGGAACTGGCGGTACTTGAGGGCGCCCGGCGCTCCGGAGCCCTGATACGGCGCTCCGGAGGGACGCGTCATTCCGGAGCCCCATGGAATGCAGAGGGCACCGGATGAGCGAGCGGGATACGGCGTTCCGGAGGGACGCGGAATTCCGGAGCCCCACGGAATGCAGAGCGTGTTGGACAAGTGTGCGGGACACGGCGTCCGGATGAGCGTCCGAAATGCGGCGCTCCGGAAGGATGCGGGGTTCCGGAGCGCTACAGAACATGGAAGGC